TGCATTTATTCTAATTATATTCACTATGATTCTAGGCACTGCCATTGCAATAACAAGCTCACACTGAATACTCACATGAGTGGGTCTAGAGATCAACATATTATCTATAATTCCCCTCATAACAATAAAAATCCACGATCAACCGAAGCTGCATCAAAATACTTTTTAACCCAAGCAACTGCATCCCTAATCCTAATATTCGCTATTACAAACAACTTTCACCACTCGGGACAATGAGATATTCAACAACCACCCAATCCACTAACATCCCTAACGTTACTAATCGCCCTAGCAATAAAGTTAGGTCTAGCCCCATTCCACCTGTGAGTCCCAGAAGTTACCCAAGGCATCCCCCTGCTATCCGGATTAATTCTGTTAACCTGACAGAAGCTAGCTCCAATCTCAATCTTCTACCAACTCTCCCCATTCATAGAAAAAAACCTAATCCTACCCATAGCTATTCTATCAATCTTGTTAGGAGGCTGAGGAGGCCTAAACCAAACCCAACTATGAAAAATCATAGCATATTCATCAATCGCCCATATAGGCTGAATAATAGCAGTAATAATCTACAACCCCTCTACAATAATCCTCAACCTAATCATCTATATTATCCTCACTACAACCCTCTTCATCTCACTAAACTCCCTATCCATCACAACTACCTCATCACTTACTTCAACATGAAATTCACACCCCCTAATAACCCTAGCAACCCTCTTATGCTTAATATCCCTAGGAGGTCTACCTCCCCTCACCGGTTTCCTACCAAAATGATTGATCATCCAAGAGATAATCTTCAATGACATAATCACAACCAGTCTAGCCATAGCAATAATAGCCCTTCTAAACCTATTCTTTTACATATGATTAATTTATTCAACTTCCCTCACCCTATTTCCACTATCCAACAATACCAGATTCAAATGACACCATCTGAACCAAAAAGCCCCAACAACAATCCCTACAATATTAATTATTTCATCCTTCTATTTACCTTTAACACCAATAATCACAACTATTATATAGAAATTTAGGTTAATTTAGACCAAGAGCCTTCAAAGCTCTAAGTAAGTCCATAAACTTAATTTCTGACCATAAGGACTGCAGACCTTCCATCTACATCTAATGAACGCAAATCAATAGCTTTAATTAAGCTAAATCCTTTCTAGATTGATAGGATTTTAACCTACATATCTTTAGTTAACAGCTAAACACCTTAATCAACTGGCTTCAATCTACTTCTCCCGCCTAAAAAAAGAAAGGAGGCGGGAGAAGTCCCGGCAGGATTGAAGCTGCTCCTTTGAATTTGCAATTCAACATGCGATGCACCTCAGGACTTCACTGGTAAAAAGAGGAATTAACCTCTGTAGTTAGATTTACAGTCTAATGCCTTACTCAGCCATTCTACCTATGTTCATTAACCGTTGACTATTCTCAACTAATCACAAAGACATCGGAACCCTTTATATAATCTTCGGTGCTTGAGCCGGAATAGTAGGAACAGGACTAAGCATCCTAATTCGAGCAGAACTAGGTCAACCTGGTTCCCTATTAGGAGACGACCAAACTTACAATGTAATTGTTACTGCCCACGCATTTGTAATAATTTTCTTTATAGTAATACCCATTATAATCGGTGGGTTCGGAAACTGACTAGTCCCCCTAATAATCGGCGCACCCGACATGGCTTTTCCATGAATAAATAATATAAGCTTCTGACTCTTACCACCTTCATTCCTTCTCCTATTAGCATCTTCCATAATTGAATCCGGAGCCGGAACAGGATGAACTGTATACCCACCTTTAGCAGGAAATCTAGCACATGCTGGAGCTTCTGTCGACCTGACAATTTTCTCTCTTCACTTAGCAGGAGTATCATCTATCCTCAGAGCTATTAACTTCATCACTACTATTATTAATATAAAACCACCCGCAATATCACAATATCAGACACCCCTATTTGTCTGATCTGTCCTTATTACAGCTGTCCTTCTTCTGCTATCCCTTCCAGTATTAGCTGCAGGAATTACTATGCTTCTAACAGATCGTAATCTTAACACAACTTTCTTCGACCCTGCAGGAGGCGGAGACCCAGTACTTTACCAACACCTATTTTGATTTTTCGGCCATCCAGAAGTCTACATTCTCATTCTTCCCGGATTCGGAATAATCTCACATATCGTTACATATTATTCAGGAAAAAAAGAACCCTTCGGATATATAGGCATAGTGTGAGCCATAATATCTATTGGATTCCTAGGATTCATTGTATGAGCACACCATATATTTACAGTAGGAATAGACGTAGATACTCGAGCCTACTTTAGATCTGCTACAATAATTATTGCTATCCCAACAGGAGTGAAAGTATTCAGCTGACTAGCTACTCTCCACGGAGGAAATATTAAATGATCGCCAGCCATATTATGAGCACTAGGATTCATTTTCCTATTCACAGTAGGTGGACTAACCGGAATTGTTCTATCAAACTCATCCCTAGACATCATACTTCACGATACATACTACGTAGTAGCCCATTTCCACTACGTTCTTTCTATAGGAGCTGTATTTGCCATTATAGGAGGCTTCGTTCACTGATTCCCTCTATTTACCGGCTATACACTAAGTGACATATGAGCTAAAACACACTTCACCATTATATTTATTGGTGTAAATATGACCTTCTTCCCTCAACATTTCCTAGGACTAGCAGGTATACCACGACGATACTCCGACTATCCAGACGCCTACACTACATGAAACACAATTTCATCTATAGGTTCATTTATTTCCCTAACAGCCGTAATCCTAATAATTTTCATAATCTGAGAAGCATTCGCATCAAAACGTGAAGTAACAACAGTGCAAATAACATCAACAAACCTTGAATGAATCCATGGATGTCCACCACCATTCCACACCTTCGAAGAACCAGCCTATATAAAACCGGCCAACTAAGAAAGGAAGGATTTGAACCCCCTAAAACTGGTTTCAAGCCAGTCCCATATCCAATATGTCTTTCTCAAAATGAGATATTAGTAAAATTAATTACATAACTTTGTCAAAGTTAAATTATAAGCCTAATACTTATATATCTCTATGGCTTACCCCCTTCAAATAGGACTTCAAGATGCTTCATCTCCAATCATAGAAGAATTAACTGACTTCCATGACCATACTCTCATAATCATATTTCTTATTAGCACCCTAGTCCTATATATCATTTCATTGATATTAACCACTAAACTCACCCACACTAGCACTATGGATGCTCAAGAAGTAGAAACTATCTGAACAATTCTTCCAGCCGTTATCCTAGTTATGATTGCTCTACCCTCCCTTCGCATTCTTTATATATTAGACGAAATCAACGACCCAGCACTAACAGTAAAGACCATAGGACATCAATGATACTGAAGCTACGAATATACCGACTTCAACGACCTTATATTTGACTCCTACATAATCGCCACATCTGACCTTAAACCTGGAGAACTACGTCTCCTAGAAGTAGACAACCGAGTCGTCCTCCCAATAGATCTACCCATCCGCATACTAGTTTCCTCAGAAGATGTACTACATTCGTGAGCAGTACCCTCACTAGGAATCAAAACAGATGCTATCCCAGGACGACTAAACCAAGCCACCCTATCATCTACACGACCAGGACTATTCTATGGCCAATGCTCTGAGATCTGCGGTTCCAACCATAGTTTCATACCAATTGTCGTCGAAATAGTCCCACTTAAATATTTTGAATCATGATCAACAACAATACTTTAGACCCCATTATGAAGCTATTAAAGCATTAACCTTTTAAGTTAAAGACAGGACACCAATTGTCCCATAATGATATGCCACAATTAGATACATCACCATGATTTGTTACCATTATAGGAACCACACTTACCCTATTATTTTCCAATTAAAATTTAAAACCTTCACTTTCCACCCACAACCACAGACCAAAAATTTTCTATACACCAAAGCATCTAATCCTTGAGATCTAAAATGAACGAAAATTTATTCACCCCTTTCACTACCCCTACACTCTTAGACCTACCCCTCGTTATTGCAATCATTATATTCCCATCCATCCTATTTCCACAACCAAAACGACTAATCAATAATCGTCTCACTACTTTCCAATCATGACTCATAAACGCAATCATTAAGCAAATAATAAGCATGCACAGCCTAAAAGGACGCGCCTGAACACTCCTACTTACATCCCTTATCATCTTTATTGGTTCCACAAACCTTCTAGGCCTCCTACCTCATTCATTTACTCCCACTACCCAACTCTCCATAAATCTAGGAATAGCTATCCCGCTATGAGCAGGAACTGTCCTACTAGGATTACGATACAAAACTAAATCATCACTAGCCCACTTTCTACCACAAGGAACTCCATTACCATTAATCCCAATACTTATCATCATCGAATCCATCAGCCTATTAATCCAACCTATAGCCCTCGACGTACGACTAACAGCCAACATTACAGCTGGCCACCTCCTAATTCACCTAATCGGAGGAGCTGCCTTAGCAATCTATTCTATTAGCCCAATCGGATCGCTGGCAGCATTCATTATCCTCACACTTCTAACAATCCTAGAATTTGCAGTAGCCCTTATTCAAGCCTACGTCTTTACCCTACTAGTAAGCCTATACCTACATGACAACACCTAATGACACACCAAACACATGCCTTCCATATAGTTAACCCCAGCCCCTGACCATTAACTGGAGCTATATCAGCTCTCCTCCTAACATCAGGAATAGTAATATGATTCCACTATCAATCCGTCACGCTCCTCCTCATGGGTATCCTATCTAGTGTCCTTACTATATTCCAATGATGACGAGACGTAATTCGCGAAGGAACATTTCAAGGCCACCACACCCCTGTAGTTCAAAAAGGCCTTCGCTACAGTATAGTCCTATTTATTATTTCAGAAGTGTTTTTCTTTGCATGCTTCTTCTGAGCATTTTACCATTCCAGCCTAGCCCCCACTCCCGAACTAGGGGGATGCTGACCACCAACTGGAATCACTCCATTAAACCCCCTAGACGTACCATTACTCAATACCTCTGTCCTTCTAGCCTCCGGAGTATCAATTACATGAGCCCATCACAGCCTCATAGAAGGTAACCGAATCCCAATAATTCAAGCCCTTTTCATTACTATTATTTTAGGAATTTACTTTACTGTTTTACAAGCCTCCGAATACACAGAAACCTCATTTACCATTTCAGACAGCGTGTACGGCTCAACATTCTTCATAGCAACAGGCTTCCATGGCCTACACGTAATAATTGGAACAACATTTCTTATCGTATGCTTAATCCGCCAAATCCAATTTCACTTCACATCCACTCACCATTTCGGCTTTGAAGCAGCAGCATGATATTGACACTTCGTAGATGTTGTCATGCAACATGTGTGTTCTAGGTTGTCATGTGTGTTCTAGGTGAAATTTGACCCATTCCTTTTCCTTCTCACTTCCCAAGTCCTCCTTTACTCCTTCTAGGCCTAATGTTGCCTCCTCTTCCTTCTTCTGTGAGATAGCATTGCCCATACTAAGGGTTACACTTACCCTGACAGACTGCTTAGCCTCTGTCAGTATTTTTCCTTTCATGCCCCATGTTGGGAGCCAGATGTTGGGTCTTCTTCCATCACACGAAAGACAGACAGGGTCCGAGGAAAGCTAAGTGCGGCAGCTCGCCCGTTCCCCAGCCTCCCTCAGTCCAGGAGACAATCAGACGCAGCGGGGAGTCAACTCAAGCAGGAAAACTCATTTATTAACATAGAGCAAGCCATTTTTAAAGCAAAAAAGAGTGGGTGGCATGGGAGGGGAGGAAGAGAGGAAACAATCACTGTCAAGGTCACACCCTATCATGCACCTAAGATTCCATGGTCTAGTTATGCACTGAACATAAAGCAAATCAGGCTCTGCCCACTCAACTCCCTATCAGCGCCATCTTTGCTGCCCATGTGCTCTACATCATGTGAGTACTGATTCTTGGATCAGTACTCCAATTTCTGAATGTGATTCTTATTGTCACACTTCATGAACTCTTAATTAAAAATTATTGTTGTGCCATACGTCTTGCCTATCATTTCCTATGAGAATCATGAATGAACTAAACTCTTCCCTAGGACTCAATTCAAGCACCTCATAACATTTATAGACATGTCAAATATACGATTTATACTTACATCTATATATTAAGTCTATATTGTGTTTGTTGTAGTGATTCATTATGTTTTATTATTGATTTAGCATTTATTTTATGAACTGTGAGTGCACCCATAATATTTATTACATTTATTCCAATCTATTCCATAGCATGTAACTTTGCAGACATGTTATGAACTTGCACAGAAAAGGAAAAAAGGTGTCACACTTGAAATCTTACACCAGGAAAAAATTTTTGGCCATGATGGGACGTGATCTGAAAGCCTGAGAGGCCCAATTCTTGAATGTGTGAGTGTCAGCACCATAGCCTCTAGTCCATTCAGCTGCCAAGTCGATCCCAAGACCTGGAATCAAGCCCCTGTTTGGCTAAAATCGCAGTAACTTTCTGTGACGATGGTGGTACATAAATAAATATAAATACCTAAATTTGGCCAAAATCACAGTAACTTTCTATGACGATGGTGGTACATAAATATAAATTTAGATATTTAGGTACTGCCAGAGGTGTCTATCTAGTATTCAATGACATATACTACGTTCCTACCGATTCTCATGTATTTAGTGAGGATTCCATTTAATCAATAATATTCTTTAAATGCATAATAAACTATGAATTAAAATCAATCTGTGTCCTGTGATTATTGGGTCTAATTTTATGCTAGACTCATTTTGAGGGACTACTTATCCAACCATGACATTGATCACATTTCTCTGGTGTTCCTATGGACAGGCAATAGTTTTTTAGACTCTCCAGCCCCTTTTAAGTGGCATGATCAGGATTCAAACTCAGGGCCTAGCGTCCACTGACCTACAGCTTCACTGACAGCCCGCCAGCCTTCAGCAATGCCAGGTGAACTACAGGTTGCAGCCATGTCATTCAGACTCAGGATGGTCACCTTGCAAGGAAGAAAAGTAGAAACTGCTGACCTTCTGTAGTTTGATGCTTTTTTTTTTGGTGGTGTTTTCATTTTGTTTTCCTGTTAGTCCCCGAGGCCTAGGATCCAGGATGGGCTGTGGGTCCATAGGCTGCACCATCCCAGCCTAGTGTGATGGAAACTGAGGCAGAATTGCCACGACCTGAGTTAAAGCCACGTGCATGGCAAAAAATAAATTAATTAATTAATAATATTACTAAAGCTCCTTGTCTTGAATTTTGTGCCATTTTGTTGTTTGCCAGGCAGGGATGCATCTTGGGATCTGGGTAACGCTGATGCACTGAGGGGGATGGAGGAAAAGAAAGATCTCCTCCATTGAAGACAAGAATTCAGGCCTGTTCCCTAGGACTGAATTCAAGCCCCAGTCCTGGAGAACATAACATTTATAGACATGTTTATTATATGATTTATACTTACATCCATATATTCAGTTTATATCGTGTTTGTTGAAATGATTCATTATATTTTATTATTTATTTATTTACTTACCATTTATGTACAGTACCATTATGTACTGACTGTGAGTGCACCTATAACATTTATTACATTCATTGAAATCTATTCCATAGCATGGAGCTTTGCAGACATATTATATACATCATACCTGACACCCAGCACTTGCACAGAAAAGGAAAACAGGTATCACACTTGGAATCTTTCTCCAGGAAGACATTTTTAGCAATGCTGGGGCCTGAACTGAGGCCCTAGGAGGTCCAATTCGTGAATGGGTGAGTGTCATCATGGCAGCCTCTATCACATTCAGATGCCAGGTGGATCCCAAGACCTGGGATCGAGACTCAGGTTTGGCCAAAATAGCAATACTTTTCTATGCAGACGGTGGTATAAAAATAAATATATATTTAGAAATTTAGATACTTCCAGTGATGTCTATCTAGTAGTATTCAATGACATATACTAACTTCCTAGTGATTCACAGGTATGTAGTGAGAATTCTATTTAATCAATAGTATTCTTTTAGGGGCTGGGAAAGTGGCTCACTGTGAGAGTGCTTGTCTTGCATGCATGAGCCCTGGGTTTGATTCCTCAGCACCACATGATCAGAAAAAGCCAGGAATGGTGTTGTGTCTCAAATGGTACAGCATTAGCTCTGAGCTGAAAAGCTGAGGGAGAGTTCCCAGGACCAGAGTTCAGGCCCCACTACCGACAAAACACACACACACACACACACACACACACACACGTATTCTTTTAATGCGTAATAAACTATAAATTAAAATCAATCGACATCTTGTAAATATTGGGTTTAATTTTATGTTAGACTGATTGACAAACTACTCAACCAACCATGACATGATCACATTCCTCTGGTATTCCTATGAACAGGCATTAGTTTATTAGGCTCTCCAGCCCTTTCTAAGTGCCATGACAGGGATTCAAACACCTAGGTGTCCAGATTGGGCTGTGGGTTCGCTGCCAGCCTGCCAGCCTTCAGCAATGCCAGGTGACCTACAGGTTGTAGCTGGTGTCATTTGGACCCGGGGTGGTCACCATGCAAGGAAGGAAAACCGAGAAACCTCCTACTGTCTGCAATTCGAGGTTATTTTTCAGTACTGTTTTCAATTTGTTTTCCTGTCAGCCCCTGAAGCCTTGATTCCTAGGATGGGCTGTGGTCCCAGAAGCTGCACCATCCCAGCTTAGGGTGATGGAGGCTGAGGCAGAGTTGCTACAACCTAAGTCCAAGCCCCGTGCCTGGCAAAATAAATGAATTAATAAATAAAATATAATAAAATTTAATAAAGTATATAAACATAAAATATTTTTTTATTTTTTATTATTATTTTTTATTGTGAAAATACTGTACAGAGGGGTTACAATTACATGGGCAAGATAGTGAGTACATTTCTTATCAAGCATTGTAGCCTCCTCCTTTTTTTACCCTTCACATCCCTTCCCATCCTCTCTGTCCCCCACCTAATCCTCCCCCCTCGAAGTTGTAAAGTTCATTTTTTTTGAGTAATTATTTGTATTTATTTATCTCATTTATCAAAAAGAAATAAAATATCACACACTTCATGGGGTAGTAGTTTAAACCACACAGGTTAATTACTTTATACACAAATCAAATTAAATTATCACTTTACATATCAAATTGAGGTGAAAGTTATTTTCCAAATAAAATTTTTATTTATCACTTACATGAAAATGTTGCTGATCCCCTGTCAAACATAAAATTTACTGACAGCTTTGGTGGAGATATGTATTATACTTCTTTTAGGAGAAAACTAATAAAATATATTTTTATCACCTAGAAAGATTGGAACTGAATTTGTCTAAATATTTGTCCTTTCCCTGTTATGTCACTGACACAAATAGGAGAAATCAAAATTCTTATAACTAAAATATTGCATTTTTGCCCGTGTATATTAATCAGAGTTCAGAATGCTATCCTATACACTTCTCCACACTAACATGCATGCGTAATTTTTGTCAACATACAAACAATATTTGTGGTATTAGTAGAAATAACTAGCTTGTTGCATTTTAATTACTGACACTCTGTTTATGGCAAAAGTCATACTTGCTCTCAGTCACTTGAAAATGAAAAGTGGGTTGGGCACCGGTGGCTCATACCTGTAACCTAGCTACTCAGGAGGCTGAGATCTGAGAATCATGGTTCAAAGCCAGCCTAGGCAGATAGACCCAAGACCATGAGGCTCTTATCTCCAATTAACCATTGGAAATTCAGAAGTGGTGCTGTGGCTCAAGCGGTAGAGTATTCTCCTTGAGTTGAAGAGCTGAAGGACAGCACCCAAGCCCAGAGTTCAAGCCCCACCATCCACCAAAAAAAAAAAAATCTAAAGTGGACAGCTGAAAAAATTGACACTTCCCTTGAGCTGGGTGGGATTCCTGATTTTATTTTTGTCAGTCATTGGACTTGAAATCTGGGCTTGGGCTCTGTCCCTCAGCTTTTCAGTTCAAGGCAAGTACTCTACCACTTGAGCCACAGTACTCTTTCCAGTTTTTTGGTGGTGTATTGGAGATAAGAGTCTCACGGACTTCCCTGCCTGTCTTTGAACCTCCAGCCACAGATCTCAACCTCCTGAGTAGGTAGGATTACCGGCATGAGCCACTGGTGCCCTGCTCATGAATTCTTTTTTTTTTTTTAATTTTATTTTATTTTATTTGAGAACATACTGTACAGAGGGGTTACAATTACATGGGCAGGATAATGCATACATTTCTTACCAAGCATTGCAGCCTCCTCCTTTGTTTGCCCTTCACCTCCCTTCCCAGCCTCCCCCCTCCCTCCCACCCAATCATACCCCCCCACCCGCCCCC